ATCAGTACTCGTTACAACATAACTTGAAGCTTGCGACCCTACAACTAGCATAACACACGGTGGTACGTCAGCCAAGCTCGGAAAAGAAAATGGCGAACCACCGGCAGTGCGTATATTTACACGAACTATTCAACCTACATTTATAATTTTGACGTCTAATAAAAGGACTCTAGAATATCTATAATCCTAAATTAAATGAATAAACTCTAAAAAGTCTGAATAGTCATTTTTATTGCGCACTCACTCACTAAATCACTCATCAAAACCTAGGCCGAGTCTAGATGACTTAGAAACTAGACATTTGAAATTTGAAGATGTGATACAAAAATCGTGAGACGTAATCGGATTACAAAACGTGGAAGGTCATCTTTTTTTATTTTAATAAAAGGATTATATAACGGTGTCTTAAATTTACGCGAATACAGACAGATGGAATAAAACAAATTTTACAATTTTTTATCGCGTTTAACTTTTTTTAATTCCCGACTACTTTTATAAAAAGCACTTTTCGCAAGACATGATCCTGTAAGCTCGTTCTGCAAATGTAGGACAAAAAAAAGAACTTTTTTTAAATTATGAAGTTCAGGGTAACATTGTCTGTTATTTTGAACGTCATACTGGCTCATCTGGCTTCACCGATAAAATACTTAAAATGCCAACGGGTGCTACCTACCCTCCTGTCAAGTGAATTCTGTAAACTGGTACTATTGAAATGATTATCATTACTTAATAGTAAATTATGTTAGTTGAGATTTACAAACGCATTGGAAAGTTAGATTAATGTGCTACTAGCACTTAGTAGTTTTTGACTTATATCATAGAATATCTGTCGCAAATGGAGGTTAAGAACCGCTTCTTTTATGTAAATTCGCTCAACATAATATTATGTGTCAATTTATGGACTCAAAATCTCATATAATTCAAAATAAAAGCAACTCAATCTTTTGATTCAAAATTAAAATAAAAGAAAAACAAGGTAATATTTTCAAATGAAAATTAAATTTAAATAATTTAACCTTTTTATAGAATAAGGGAGACAAACGAGCACACAGTTCACCTGATGATAAGTGAGTGTTGTGGTCCATAGATATTTACATTTATCCTCGATCAAGTATCAAAATGCAAATGCGGTGTTACTTCTGAAGACTAAGATGGAAAGTCTCGTTTACAGTAAAAAAGGGTCTCCGGTTCTCTACACTCACCATACGAAACAGCAATATTAGGCTAATATTTTATGCTAGTATTCTGTGAGAGCGTGGTCCTACGCCGAGCGAGCCGACCCATCCGTGCTACAACTATAATATACGTCTATATACTGTTTCGTGCTACAACTATAATAACCACTATAAAAATTTTGTCAAATATAACTTATGACTAAGGTACAATACACTTACAATAGTTCGCACTCATCACAAAAACCTGCTCATTGTATCATTCCTTCCGCTCATATGAATACCATGTCACAGTATATATAATAGAATACAATAGTATTACTGATTATATTAACATCAGGAGAATTTGTCACTTAATAATAAAACTGTATGCTCTTTGATTTTTTTTTATACAGACCGGTGTATGATATTCGGAACTGAAATAAAGTCTGTTCACCACACACAAATAGAGTCTGTGTACACCAGGAGGCGCACTTACTATTTTGTTTTTATTTTATTATTTTCACTATGTTTGTTATATAAATGTTTTTCTATAACTATTTTATTGTTATGGTTATTGTAATAAAATACTAGTGTAAATAATAAACTCAAGTTAGGTAGCAAAGAACCTTTCACTACGGCGCTTCGCTTTTAAATGAAGAATTCTCCTGCGGGTGTACGCCGCATACGACACAAGATGCGGCACGTGCCAAGGCGGCACGACACAGAGGCGACCGTATGCAAGCGAATTGACTATACAAAAGTAAATAACGTCACAGATTACCCCCTAAAGCTGAACGCACATTTGTCCGCGCCGTACGCGCCGAGTTTTACTGATGGCCTTGCACACATTTACCCGTACGCATCGTCCGCACCGTACGAAAAAAGACTAGTTGTATGTTTGAAGTAAGTATTTTTATTGATAATTAAGTGATCAGGTGTTTTTGTTAGTTCAGTATTTAAATAATTTATCGCTAAGAATACATATTGATAATCGTTCAGCTTAAGGAGTACTTTCCACAAAACTGGTTACCTTACAAATTAAGATTAATATAGTAATTTAACGATAGGAGACTATTTCATGAAAAAGACCGCTTATTGTTTGAGCAACGAAATATTACCGAACGACCTAACCGTTTGTAAATAAGAGTATTTATTTATTTGTCTCCATCAATCTCTACTAAACAAGTTTTTGCCGTAATCACTCTTAACTTCACAGGTCAAATGGAGCTCACTGGTGACAGTAGTAAACGTTACGCACCTTAAACGCTGATTTGGCGAATTTAGCTGCTGTCCCTTTACCAAAAGATCATAAATGTGATCAAAATCGTGACTGGGTTTCGCGCGAAAAATGCGCATTGCGAAGTATCTAGAGCAAGGCAGCTGGACGGAGACCAAGCTCGCACAAAATGTCATCGTGAAATAGCAGAATAATGCCACTGTGTTGCGTGTGGTGAGCGAAGAGAACCGGAGATCCTTACTGGGCATTCTGAGGAATTCTTAGTCTTCAGACGGTGACAGACCACCTGATGATAAATGGTGCCACACCGTTTACTTACCACGTAGAACGAGCACACAGTAAAAATGAGTGTGCTCCTATTTCACTCTTACGTCTAAAAAATGAATTTTAGAAAAAGAAATATTTAATGAAAGAACTCTGTGCTTCAGAAGTGTGAGATTATAAAAACCGTTCGCATGATAACCTTAGAGATTGGACGGCTGTTAAGGGCGGTGCATACCGATCGCGACGTGTGTTACTGCACCAGAAACAGGTGGCTTGACTCCTTTTCTGAATAGGCACCACGCTAAATAGTAGTGCTTGCACTGCTATATTTCGGTCTAAAGGTTATAAAGAGCCGGATAATTACAGGTTACAAGGCATTCCATCTTAGTTATCAGTGGTGACAACGGATCTGTAGCCCTCTTTGCTGGACTGCAGTAACGGAGTTTTGGCGGGAACTTGACCGGCAGCAGATTACTGTTCCTGTATGATTGTTTAAATAATGATTTGAAGTGCATTTTAATACGTAAACGAGGTGCGATTTTGTGTATTAAATGTTTGCGCATGTCAACTATCAGTCGAAACGGTAAAACAAGTGCTCCGATGGTGATGTGAATCTCAAGATAAGGTGTCTTTCTGCTTATGCGCCTAGAGATACTATCGCCAACTATCTGCTGGCTCAATTTGGCGTCAAAATCTCTCAAAAACTACGCAATGTGACGCATCAACATATTGTGAAGCAGTGTACTGTAAAGGATAATTATCACTTGATACTGAAAATCTATAAAAAAATCTGGCAATGTAGAGGTAGGGTTCCGTAGTTGGCCGTCACAATACTTGGGCATTCTTGATAATGAGCAAAATATGTAAGTTCTCACTTTGACCACTATAACGACTAAAATGGGCCTAAATAGTAAGATTGTGACTGAAGGACTTTTTCAAATCAAACTTAGGATAGGGAGTGGTATTCAAAAAGATGAAAAATCTTTTAGATTTTAAAAATAATAGGGTACTAGTATCTCGCAAATGAAACAGTAAAGCTAATAGTGGTAATGCATATAAGTCGTTTTCTTCATAAAATGTTTATTTTTAACATTTACAATAAAGTATTTCGCAAACGGACCCCTGAATCGAAAAGATGTTGTTCCACACTCCCAGTGTTTTTGAAAGACCTATCCAGCGCTAACCCACATGATGTAATAGACGGGTAAAAAAATCATCCTTCATTTACTTTTATGGGTAGTACCCAAAATAAAAATGTTTTTTAAGATTTTATTTCACAGTTTTTTAGGCGTGATTAATATCTATAACTATGCCACATTACAGATTTGTAGTGACGAACGACGTAGACGAACGGGCATGGCGAAACTATAATAGTTCCTTGTTGTGTAAGTACGGAACCCTAAAAACGAAAATTCCGAATGAAATGAAGACATGACTTAAAGGACAAGCATTCAAGCTAAAAATCTTAATTATTATTAAAGACTGCAGTGACCATGTAAGTGAAAGTTCTTTTAACCGACTTCGAAAAAAGGAGGAGGTACTAAATTCGAATTCATATTACCTCATTTCTTTTTGTAGGTGAACCGATTTTGATGATTCTTTTTTATTTGAAAGGTGGTGCGTCTCATGTGGTTTCATATAAACTTGATCAACATCTGACCAGTAGTTCTGAGTTATCCTCAATAATGCGTATTTAATTGACTTCGACTACAGTGATGATGTTCTCATTTTATTTATATTGAAGTCGATTGTACAAAATTTTTAATTTAACACTTGTTACTTATTTTTTTATGAAATAAGTTATACGTTAGGGGAAATAATGTCACACATAAGGGTGACAAAATAGGGGATGACGTTTTAATGGAACTATTTACACAACATTAAGATTGTGATATTTCTTAATCCACTCAAGAAGGCAAAAAAACGTTTAATATAAAAAATCAAACTGCAAACAATTAAAAAATATAATAATTTCACATTTTGAAGTCGCTGCTAAGACATGGTGTACCTAATATATGGACTCGAGTTTAAAATGTGAAATTATTTTATTTTTGGTACTGTGAAGCCTGCTTTTACTTTTAATTATTTTTTTGTTCTTTCTAATCTACGCCAGTAACATGTGGACAAGATGGATCTTAACCAAAATTACCAATTTTCAAAATATCGATAGTTTTTGTTAACGTCACAAAGACTAAAAACTGCAGCATTAGCCCTCTACCATAAATTTCCACTCACACCTCGATTCATTTTCGCAACACTTTTGGTTAGCTGTCTATCAGATAAGGCTTTTAAATAGTAAAAAAAAAAACTGAAATGGCAGGAAATCTCTCTACTACAGAACTAACCTCGAACTCCTCGACATTGAGATCGCTGTCACCATTTTTGTCAGCCAGCGACCACATCACCTTCTCAATGTGAAGTAACTGTAGACAAAAACACCACCATTTAATGAACATGGCTTTCATAATCATTATTAATTTTTATTATTTACGGTCTAACAAATGTCCACTGGTGCCACCATAGATTTGATTATTATTTTCAGTTGTCATTAAGAAGATGCTGTTGCCCACATTAAACAAGCGACAGTAGCCTAATGGCAAGGTGCAGACCGCGAACTAATAAGGTCGTAGGTTTGAATCAGCCATTCGACTACTGTCGTGAACCATTGCTAACACAAGCATTTTAAGCATATTAATAATTTTAAGGGATAGTAGTAAATAGCATTGCTCGTATATTTTAAAAATTAAAAAAAATCTTGTTCAATTAACCTCTGTCGCCTCTTACTACATCTACGGGATGAAATAGGGCTTTAGATTCTTTAATGCTACCATCACACTATACGGATTGTAAGTAATATTTCTTTTTGTTATTTTATTATTATATGAAAGAAATTGCAGATCCATATAAAATTATTAAATCATTAATTTACATGACATTAATTTATACATTATTAATTATGAAAACAACATTTAGTAAAAATTAAAATGCATCGTCATTATAGCATTATTGATAGATGGCGTTATTATCAGTTATCAACAGTTTAAATAATAAAAATCAACATTTAAAAAACTTTAATAGCATATGAAATAAACAATACAAATATCAAAAGCATGTACAAATGTATAATTTTTTATTGTATGTAGCACGAATGGGTCGGCTCGACCGGGTAAGGACAACGCTCTCACAGAATACCAGCGTAAAGTAGCACCTTAATGCTGCTGTGTTTCTAGTGTCTGAAAATTAGACATTCTATACCTTAGTCCTGAGGGGGGGTAGAGGGATATTACACTTGACGGATGGTAAAAATTGACTAATCTTCTTCGGCGACTTGAAGTATGTTTTAATGGAAGCTCGCTTTCAAGATGTAGCCAACCTTGTCTATGACTTCTCTGACATAAGGTAGTACAGCAGGCACACGCGCGACTGTGGCCGGCTTCACTCGGTCACTGTGACGTATGCGCGGGACCCGAAGCTTGTTGTCTTGTATTCCCTCTACAAGATGCAGGAGTTGTACACTCAAAATTGATTGCGAATGTGTCTCTCTTACATAGGACAAACAAAAAGATCTATTAAAACCCGCGTGAAAGAACATATAGCTGACGTGAGGCACCGACGCTCTAGGAAGTCTGCAGTCTGTGAACATGGTCAAGATCGTCTTCGCCATTACATCAGACTTGATAGACCACAAATCCTCGCAAAGGAACACCGATTCCTACTAAGGATAATACGTGAGGCTATTGAAATTATAAAACATTCTAATTTCAATAGATAAGATGGATGGGCGCTGCCATCTGCTTGGGATCCTATAGTTAACAAAATTAAACTCAAGCCCAAGCATACGAGTGCCAAGACTTTAAGATACTGTAAGCTCATTCTGTGTACATTGAACCAAAAATTTATATTCAAAAACTGAAGGTAACCGGGCTAACTATGACATTGGGACATCAAACATCTCAGTCTCCCCTGTGACCATGGGTCGCTGTAAAGCATAAAGTAAGTAAATTAAACGCGATAAAATCCGTAAACATAGTTTAATTCAATGTATAATGTTCGCGTAAATATAAGAAGCCATTACATTAGATTTGATAGATCACAAATCCTCGCAAAAGAACACCGATTCCTCCCAAGGATGATTCGCGAGGCTATTGAAATTAAAAAACATCCTAATTTCAATAGAGAAGATGGATGGGTGCTGCCATCTGCTTGGGATCCCATAATTAATAAAATCAAATCCAAACCCAAGTATACCACTGCTAGACTTCAAGATACTGTAAGCTCATTCTGCGTAAATCGAACCAAAAATTAATATTAAAAAACTGAAGGTAGCCGGGCTATGACAGCAGGACGTCAAACACCTCAGTCCCCCGTGACCACGGGTGCTGGAAAGCACCCGAAACGTCGGGAATATAAAAATAAGTTAATATACGCGATAAAATCCGTAAAATTGGACAGATGGTCGCCCTCAACTTTTCACATAGTCAGAGACGCTTGCACCTTATTCTTATTTAACCATTTCAACATTACAGATTTGGTGCAGGACTTAGTTGGGACTTATTCTCTTGTACACTGTAATATGTTGCGTTTTCCATTACAATGACCCTGTTTGGTGGTAGGTTAGGAATAAGCATTTCAGAAACCCACTTTCCAAAGTTCACACTATTCATTTGGCCGTGATAATCTCCTGATTGATGATGAAAGCAGCTTAGCATTATTTAAAAAGAAAAACCTTTTTGCGATCCTGTGTATACAAGAATAAGTCTGTTTGTGGAATGGGTATCCGTCAACGATTTTTAAATAAAAGTTAAATTATTATCAACCCACGTTTCATCCAAAAAGAAAATATTTGTATATTCTTGTCTATATTGACAGATTTTTAGCAAAAATACTAACCGAGCAAATACAACACCTGGCCTTTCCACTAAAATACGACGTTTATTATGACACTTCAGCCACTTATATCCAGTTTCTTTTAATAATTTTTTAAAACTAGTCTCTCCCCATGGATATTCAATTTTTCCTGTAACAGCTGCTAGAAGTTTATGACAAGTAGCAACAATTTTTTTTTGTTATATAAAATTCTTTGTATTAAACTGTAATCAAAATCTTCCTTTTTTAGACGGCGGAGGTAAAGGGCCATGTTTAGCTTCTTTTTGAATAACAGCTAATATCTGTTTAGAAAGTCCGGTACAACAGCTCACTCGACCAAAAGAATCATTTAATGGCAAGGTCAAAAACTTCTTTTGTTTTTCTCCAACATACATATCCAGTACTTTCTTCGAAACTCCACATGCTTGGCGATGAATAAAAACACGTTTTTTTTGTGACTTCTTGAGCTGCTGCGCTTGCGAGGCTTCGGTTCAGCCATGCTTAAACACAAAAATGTCAAATACTAAAACGGAATCAATACGCGTGCGATAGTTATCAAGGACAACGCTAAACTACGGACGTTCGAAGCACGTAGAGCAGGCGGCGTGAGGGCACGCTCCCGCCCTTTACCTTAGACCCCGACTGCATTCAATTCGCACACCTACTGTACTTGGTAATTTTTTAAAACACGGTTTACATGATATATCTGGTGCCAAGCCATGCATAGCTCGAATACATTTCTTTTCGGGAATAAAGGCCTTAACAGCATCTGTACTGTTACCCCAAAGTAAAAGACAAGTGGCAAGTGTAGAATAAATGTATGCATAGTATGTTGTTATTGAAGTGTCATTTAGTGTAATTTTTCCGAGTCTGCTAAATCATCATCATTACAGCCTTTCACAAGTCCACTGCTGAACATAGGCCTCCCCCAAGGAATGCCACAAAGCACGGTACTGAGACTCCTGCATCCATCGACTTCCTGCATGTCTTACCAGGTCGTCACTCCATCTAGTAGGGGGTCGCCCTACACTTCGCCTACCGGTACGAGGCTGCCACTCGAGAACCTTTCTTCCCCATCGGTTGTCGGTTCTTCGAGATATATGGCCGGCCCACTGCCACTTCAGCTTACTAATCCGTGCCTACTCTGGTTCTACTGCGGATATCCTCATTCCTAAATTTATAACGCAGAGATACCCCGAGCATAGCCCTCTCCATAGCTCGCTGAGCGACCTTGAGCTTCCTCATACGGCCAGCCGTGAAGGACCACGTCTCAGATCCGTAAGTCATCACTGTTAACACGCACTGGTTGTTCAATTTCGTTTTCAGGTTTTGAGGTATGCCTAACGAGAAGATGTGTCGTAGTTTCCCGAACGCTGCCCAGCCGAGTTGAATCCGTCGATTAACCTCTCGGTCGAAATTGGACTTACCTAGTCGGACTATTTGTCCCAGGTAAACATACTCGTCAACAACTTCGAGCTTAGTGCTCCCAACAACTACCGGCATAGGTGTGACATGGACGTTAAACATGATTTTTGTTTTGTCCATGTTCATCTTAAGACCTATCCGTTGGGAGCCACTATTGAGGTCATTGAGCATAGTGCTTAGGTCCTCCAGCGTTTCTGCCATAAGGACTATATCGTCGGCAAATCGAAGGTGAGTGATGTACTCGCCATTGATGTTAATACCTCATCCTTTCCAGTTCAGTAGCTTGAAAACGTCTTCCAATGCAGCGGTGAAGAGTTTCGAGGATATAACGTCACCCTGTCTTACACCTATCTGCAGTTGGATAGGTTTCGTACTCTGATTCTGTACTCGGATAGCCATCGTAGCTCTACTGTACAAACACTTCAGCACTTCGATATACCGACAGTCAACTTGGCACCGCTGAAGCGACTGCAGCACCGCCCAAATTTCGACGGAATCAAAGGCTTTATCATAGTCCACATACGCAAGGCAAAGTGGCAGATTGTACTCCTCTGTTTTCTGTACAATTTGCCGAAGGGTGTGTATGTGGTCCATGGTACTAAAGCCTTTTCGGAAACCGGCTTGTTCGGGAGGCTGGAAGTCGTCAAGTCTGCGTGCGAGACGATTCGTAATGACTCTCGAAAACAGCACGTATAAGCGGCTCAGAAGGGAAATCGGTCTGTAGTTCTTCAAGAGAGCGTTGTCGCATTTCTTGAAGAACAAGACCACCGCACTTCTGCTCCACGCCTCCGGAGTAGTGCCGCCATGGAGGACGGAATTAAAGAGCTTCTGAAGGACTTCAAGTCCCGTTTTTCCACCCGCTTTCAGAAGCTCAGCTGTAATTCCATCCTCGCCCGGGGACTTGCCGTTTTAAAGGTGCTGGAGAGCCATTCTAATCTCGCTCAGACTGACGTCCGGGATATCTTCGGAATAGTGTCGGATAAGACTCGCTCTTGGATCGTTACTCACATTTGCGTGTGGCGCCAACGATGACGTGTACAGCTACCCATAGAACCTCTCAATCTCACTCAAAATCTCAGGTGTCCCGGAAACGATGCTGCCACATTCAGTCTTCAGCTTTGACAGTTGGCTCTTTCTGGCAGACAGATCCCTGGCAAAGACTAGAAGCTGTATTGAAGTTGCGTGAATCCCGCCGCATGCATTTAGAGATCTGTCTGTTCAGTTGCCCGTATGCTGTCAAATCTGTTGAAGAATGTAGCTTCATCTCCCGTCTAGCAGCTATGAGATTAAGAGTGTGATCGGAGAGTTTTTGTGTTCTTCTGCGGCGGGTCTTGCAAAACTTAGCTCCGACCGCATGGACAGTTTCCACGAGCTTGTCATTCATATCGTCCACTTCATTGCAGTCTTCTTTCTAGGCACTGAAAACGATTTTGTAACTCGAGCTGAAAGGTTTCGGGACTTTGGAACAGAGCACGAGGGGGACGGAGCGTTAACTTCATTAGACGAGACCTCTCCAACTTAACGTTTAGGTTCAGTGTGCCTCTAACCATTCGGTGATCGCTACCAGTTTTCACCCTCGCGATCACGGAGACATCACTGAACAGTTGTCGTCTGGTCGTCATAATGAAGTCAATCTCATTTTTTGTCGAACTGTCGGGGCTCGATCAGGTCCACTTCCTGTGGGGCCGCTTCTGGAAGAAAGAGTTCATCATAAAGAGTCCCTCTTTCTCCATGAAGTCGGCCAGCTGCTGGCCCCTTGGGTTCCCTTGAAATATGTTATTCCAAATTTCCCTACTTTCAGCTCACCGTTCTCTCTTGTGCCTAGTTTTGCATTGAAGTCTCCCATTAACACCGTATAGTGGGTTTTGGAGGAATGCAAGGCTCTAGAGATATCCTCATACTTTTGCTCCACCTCCTCGTCGGGATGCGCCGAGGTTGGTGCGTAAACCTGTATGACCTTCAGCGAATACCGTTTGGTGATTCTGAGTATAAGGTACGCAACCCTCGTCGACACACTCTCAATCTTTACAACGTTGTTAACGAAAGACTTGTGGACGATAAATCCGACACCTCCTTGGGACAGATGGTCGCCCTCCCGGTGATAGAGCAAGTTGCCGGATTCGAGGATTACCGTGTCCTCCCCCTCTCTTCGGACCTCCGATAATCCTATAATATGCCAGCGTAACTTGTCTATCTCTTCTTGCAGCTCCACGATCTTTTCGTCAGTCCTCAGAGTGCGTGCGTTGTATGTTGCCAGGTCGAGTCGTCTTAGGTGGCATCCGAACCTCCACCGGAGATTCTTAGCACCCCCTGCCCCGCCGTTACCATGGTCGCCACCGTAGCCAGGAATAGCGGGGCCGCCGGGGACTGGGGGCCGTCTCTTTGTTACTCTCTCGGGGGTATTTGCCATAGTTGCCACGCTTGGCGTAGTGGATATTCTCAACCGCCACTACACGGCAGTCTGCTAAATAGAAAAATGTAACTATTTATTTTAAAACATACCTTTTCAACTTGGGCTTTCTAGTTCACATGTTTGTCCAATAATATTCCCAAACAATTTTGTTTCAGTAATTTCATTAACAGATTGTCCATTGTAATGTATATTAAGGTTATTATATATTATAACTACAACATTACGGTGTAAAAGATTTGGCGCTTAGACTTATTACTTCATATTTAAGTAACAGAACTCAATAAGTCATGATCAATGGTAAAGGTTCCTCTGGATCAGTAGTATCAATGGGCGTTACTCAGGGCTCGATTCTTGGCACATTCTTGTTCTTAATCTATATTAATGACTTACCTTATCTTGTAGGGGACAATCACGATATAGTATTATTTGCTGACGATACCTCTTTAATTTTCAAACTCAAACTACAGTCAATTAATTATGACGATGTAAATAATGCTCTATCGAAATTAGTACATTAGTTTAACGCCAACAATTTGCTCTTAAACGGCAATAAGACAAAATTTATTAAATTTACAATACCTAATGTAAAAGATTCGAAAACCAATGTGCTCTTAAATGGGGAGGAGTTGAGTCTTGTGGATACTACTGTTTTTCTTGGTATTCTATGGACGCGAAACTTCAATGGGGCCCCCATATATCTAAATTAGCAAGCAGACTTAGTTCTGCAGCATATGCTGTAAGAAAGATTAGAAGTCTCACAGATGTTGAGATAGCTAGGTTAGTGTATTTTAGTTACTTTCATAGCGTAATGTCTTATGGAATTTTGCTATGGGGTAATGCGACGCCGATATTTATGAAAATGTGATGTATGTACATAAAAACATAAATTTCTTTAATAAGAATAAGGATGTTCATACCCTAAACACTAGGAACACACATAAGCTTGTAATACCAGTTACTAGACTCCACAGAATTAGTAATTCATTTATGGGACAGTGTATACGCTTTTACAACAAAATCCCAGAACATGTTCAAAGTTTGTCAATAAACAAGTTTAAAAGTTTTATTAAAGAAAAACTGTACAAAAGGGTTATTATAATATCAAGGAATACATGAATGAAAATAACCCCTGGGAATAAGGTGATCGCCACCATGCTGGTTCTATGAAAATTCATTTAAAATTGTGTAAACAAAATTATTGTTAAGTGAAATTATGTTAAAAAAAAGTCCCGCTTGGTTTCTTGCTGGTTCTTCCCAGGACAGAGGTATTTTCCGAACCAGTGGTAAATAAAAGAATGACTTTCAATAAGTATTATGTAATAATCAATATTGAATAAAAATCATTCTATTCTATTATTTAATGTTCCATAATTACTAAATTGAATATTACTGTCTTTTCTACGTTAATACTTAAATTATTATATGTTGCCCACTTTGAAATATTGTCAATAGTATTATTAATACTAGATTCATAAATATTCATGTCCATATATATGTCCTATATATGTCATATGTCCTATGTAATATTTATGAATCTAGATCTAAGACTGCTAAAATCGCCATGTTTATGAGGCGGACTGGTAAGAGCCAGTGATTACCGAGTCGCAGGTCCTATGTTTCAACTCCAGTTGATAACTTGTCATAATATTTGGAAGACGTAGTTGTAGTAAAAAAAACTGGGCCACACTGAAAGCTGTACAGTTGCAATTAGAGCAAAGCGTACAGCTATGTAACACCTAACAGCAGGCAGACTGTACTGCAATTGAGTTTCATTTCATGTGGCCTTGTCTAGAATATTATGTTGTGCAGACAAAAATAAGTTAGAGAGCAGAATAAGTTCTGACTTTATCTATAACTATGTAATGGCTGATGATCAAACAGCAACAGAATACACACCAATCCCGTATCGCCGGTGTCTTCTGGACCGACGTCTGCCTCCTGGTCGACACCAAACGTGTCCTGCAGGTACTCGGCCCATGAAACTGAGCCATCGCGATTCTCATCCGCCTCGGACATGCGCTCTTCAGATTCCTCGCGAGACAACTTTCTGGAGGAAAAAATATGCCTCTTTAAATAAACTGAAAAAGACATGAATTGACAAACCAACAACTGTGTAGTCGCTGTGTAATGGTGGCGTAAGAGAATTTACAACCCTCTATCATCTAATAGGGGTTGTAAGTGGGAAGTGAAACAGAAGATGGGCAGCAGCATCTTCCTGATAACAACTCTAAATAGTATAAAACTGTGGTAGGTTTTTACACATTTGATGACATTTAATGAACTTATTTATATGTTTGTGGCATTTCAAAAACCCCATGGTCACGGGGAATGAGGTGTTCAAGACCCTAATATCATAGCTAACCACAGTTAACTTTAGCCCAATCTATGATTTTTGTGGTATGATGGTTATAGCTGCCTGAAGCTGAGAAGAATACATTTTATTTTAATAATGCATCATCTAAGGATATCTGCGAAAATGTCCACAGTAGAACTGAAGTAACAGATATAACCAAACTGATTAGTAACCTGAAGAGACAATGGGCCAGCCATAATGCTTGAAAACCCAAAAAAAAATGGATAAGTAAAAAAGATCCTTGAATGGCAGCTTCATACCAGTAAGTGGAGTATAATGTGGCTCTACTAGATATAGTGACAACCTGTTAAGACATTCGAATTCAAATTCTATGGATCATGGAGGTTCTATACCTAGTTTTACAGGCAATCTTTAGAGGTTCAATGTTCAGTAGAGGACTTGTGAAGGGCTGTAATGATGATGATAAATGATAACCAGAAATTATAAACGTAATCCGGATAACAAAGACCATTGAAATGCATCATAATATTATAAATATTATGTAACCATGTACCTGTAGTGGCAGTGGGTTAAAATTTCCAATATGCACCATCGATTTAAATGCCCATATTTTTTTGTAGATAGTACTCACTAAAAGAAAGCGTTTTGCAAAGTATCAATATGAGGAAACATGTACTTTTTGAGAAACAAATTATTAAAAATCAATTATTTTTGCAAATTTATGTCAATTCCTACGGTAAAACTGACGCTATTTTGTATTGTCATTGTCATCAACAGTAGGGATGTCGATTCTTTCCGAAAAAGATCAATTTTATAAATCGATTTGAATCGTAAGCTGATGTATCGATTCACAAAAAAATCGATTTCTACAATTACGATATTTTTTCATGTTTTATGAGAACAAAATCCCCTTCATCAGACATACAATAGGGGGACTGCAACGTCTCCGGCGCTGTGAGTACTATCTACAAAAAAAATATGGGCATTTAAATCAATGGTCCATATTGGAAAGTTTATCCGGAACATGAACCATGAGGTGGGCAACAGCATCTTTCTGATAACAGCTAAACAATAAAAACTGGGGTTGCCAAGCCACTTGCTAAACATAGCAACTATGGCAAATCTCCCCCCTATAAGTTAATCTATAGAAAAGGCCTATGTTCTGCAATGGACTTGGATAAGCTGTAATGGTTTTAGTATTGTTAATAAATATATTACAATAAAATTTAAATATAATTACAAGTAACAGCCTACACACCCCAATGCTGAGCACAATAGTGATTTTGATGCTGAGAGGCCAAGACTAAAAAATCTCCCCACGTTACTGAAGTTGCAACTAGTGGATTACACAAATGTTCTGAACAAATTGTTAATACATCAACTATACAAATTTCCTCACAAGGTGGTCTTTCAAAACATTTCTATTAACAGTATAAAATAAAATTTAATGTGTTTATGAAATACAAACTGTAACTTATAAATAAAGTCAAAGTAAAAACTTTATATTCAATTGAGGCTTGTTTAAATTTCTTACAAACGTCAAAACACCGGTAAAAACATAATTTTATAGAACTTACATAAAGGAGTTCAAGATCCATTTCTTAAGCTCCTTACGGTCGATGAACTGGTCCCCATTGAGATCCATCTTTGGCAGCAAGAGTCCCAGCCGGCGCTTAGACTCCTCCGGGCTAAGTTTGTCATATTCCTCGGCCTCCTTCACGCTACCTATGGTAAAATAATAAGTTGCGACAAGAATACTAGGCACCAGCAACAATAGAGCTTGTTTCACAGACATCTTGCGCCACACTATCGCATTTCTTATCACAAAATAAACTTCTAGACATTAAAAAACTGAGCGCGGACGCAAAGTGCCGCGAGCAACGAGAACGTAAAATTATAAGGCACCTAAGATCGCTTCATGGTCGAACTCCAAATTGTGACCGGCGTCGCTGTAGTGATCGAAATCTCTAGCGCGATAACTCCCATCCGATTCGCGCTCCGCTGTTTCAATATTGTGACTGTGAACAGCGGCCGATGTGCAATGTATAACATACGGCACGATTAACAAAACGGGCAAAAAACATTTGTAAGCCATCATTCTACACTTCCTCCGTCAGGTTAATTTTAGACACAACTCTTTTCAATGGTTTTGTTATGCTAAATTCATTATATGTTTTATTTATTTATTTTTCAAATAAAACATCAGGTTAAAATAAAATTGAACCACTGACAGCTGGTACAGCAACAGCGTTGCCAGCACCAATTGATCAAATTACCGAAAATCCATGTCAATTCCCCAATTTAAGGACAAACTTCAACAGATTCCCCACAAATTCTCCCCAATTTTATTTAAAGAAATTAAATCATTTTCAACTAATTTTACAAGATTTATTTTTATAACAAACATTTGAAATTTTTTCACACTCCATATTTTTGTAACAAGCATTAAACTCCATGGAGTATTTTTAATTCCTTCCCTTGTTGCCGTTAAAAAGTACCACAGTATCTGCATTTATATGCATGCGGTTCTTTGCTTTAAATTAAAAAACGTGTCTGCGTACTGTCGTGTGTACATAAGTATATACACACGTAAGGAGTTATACTTCTTTCGCGTAACAAAACAAAAATAACTAAATTAAAACACGTTTTATAAATTCATATATATTTGAATAACTACCTTGAATATTATTATCAGTTCTTACAAAAAAATGACAGTTGACAGACAAGTATCAATTGAAGTTGTCGCATTAAGGTTAAGGTGTGCGCGCGCATCGTAAAATAATCTCTCTCATCATTTTTCTCAAACGCGTTAAAAGAAGTATAACTTCAATAAAGAAATTAAAATCATTAAATGATACACAAGTTGCCAAAATAAATCCGACAGTGAAATGTTGTGCAGTGAAAATAATTAAAAAAAGGGAGTCATTCTATATTCATAAGTAACCTAACAAAAATGTTAAGATAAGTATTTAAATTTCTTGAAGAAAGGTTCCGACTTGGATCGATTTCAATTTTGATTATCGATTTTCAAAATCCCTGCATTTTTCCCGCGTAATACCAAACCCCCCAAAAATTCCCAACCAACTATAAATTCCCCGCAATTTAGGGAATTACCCACATGTTGGCAACGCTGTCAAAACATTTTATACATAGAGTTGGCCTAAAGGTCTAGATGCCAGGCCATAAACTCAAAAAAAAAATTTATACATAGAGTACTGATTCCATAGATTGTTGTTATTGTTGTCGGTTGTTGTTACAGTTGTAATCGCCAATTAAAACTGTTCGCGGAAACGGTGTTTTTCTTCTGCAACAAGTTCCGTATATTTCTTATCATGCATTTAGTAAAAAGTTGTTATTTTGTTCCACGACACTAACGCATGTTTTTTGTATCAAATAACTACTGTTGTAGTCTTAAGCATAAACTTTTAGCCGCGTAATGGGCACGCACTGTTGCACGCGTCAATTCGCCTAGTCCTCGTGACCTGGACACAAATCCTGAGTGGGACCTGTTTGCGGATGAATGGATATGTGATATTTAATTAATGTAATTGGTTTTGCCTACCTTTAATTAAAAAGTAAAAATAAATAAATAAAAATAGCCAAAATCTCACCACTATTGGCAGTTTATGGTCAAGGGTTTTACAAGTTCATTGTACTTACCCCACGTAAAGTTGGTTGCACATGATATGAATTTTGTTATTTACCTATTCCTACCTCATATTTATTCGCTTTTTTATTAAGTTTACAATAAAAAAATCATAACATCGGCTTTTACTTCGTTCACCTGTTACAACCCTTATTATTTATTATTTTTATATTTACAAGAATGCAACACAATTAATAAAACGAATTTTACGGCTTTTATCGCGTTTAATATACTTATTTTAATTCCCGACGTTTTGGCAATGGAAGATTGAGGCATTTTGTGTTGATATCATAGTTAACCCAGGTTACTTTCAGCTTTTGAATAACTCATCCGGTAGGTATGCAGGTATATATAGTGTTAGTAACCACTGTAGATGGCTTATGCCCACTTTCACCAACGACCCGTAAGATTTATGGGACCCCTTAGCATATTTAGGGGCCAGTTAGGGGATAGTTTCCGTTTCACCACTTTTAAAGGGTCCGTTACTGACTAAACGATCCCCTAAATTTATGAGATGGATTATTGGTCCCATAAACCTTCACATAAGTAAAAGCGACTTTTAGAGGACAAGATGGACCGTGATCTATTTGATTTTCTTGATAATTTAGACACAACTGATACTATATTTGATATAAATCGTAGTCGAAAACCTAAAATATATCGAAAACGACCAAATTATTTCAACGATTTCGATGAAATATATTTTTTCCGAAGATATAGGTTATCTAAATCAACAGTGATATATTTGTTGGAAAAAATTGAACATATTTTGGAATTTCCTGATAATAGGTGAGTACCTAACTATTTACATATGTTATCAATTTTAATGTATGTACAATAGTCTATAATGTTATTAAAACTGTAGTTTATTAAATATTTAAGTTAAAGTGTGGGTTCCTGGGTTCCTACATTTTCACTTATTACCTATTATACCTAGCTACGAAATAAAGGTAAAAGCATAAAAGGTTACTTTATTGCTCTCCTAACAGTAACTTTTGAATAGAAAATGAGCCTGTATAGGTAGGCCGTAGGTACCTGTTTGGTGCTAACCTACCTACCATGGTAAATTGATACCCGAGGTATATCTTACTTAAGTTTCTACCTATTTTAATTTGTAGTTGTTTATATTTTTTACAGGAACAATTCCATACCACCCATAAATCAATTATTAATAGCTTTAAGATATTATGCCACAGGCAATCACTTGCTTGCTGTGGCTGATATGGGTGGTACTAGTTTGGCTACATCCAGCCGGATAGTAAAGAGAGTGTCTCAAGCAATTGTTTCCCTACGTCGAGAATTCATTATATTTCCTGATACAAACAGAGACCAAGACAGAGTTAAGATAGACTTCTATGATATAGCTAGATTCCCTAATGTACTAGGCTGTATTGATTGCACACATGTAAAAATTCAGTCACCAGGTAAATTCCTCATTTTTATTTAACTACCTTTCACTAAAAGTTCATTTCTCTTAGTAGTCTATCAAGCAATGCTGATGAAGTATTATTTATATCTATAGGTGGAGATGATGCTGAACTATTTAGAAACAGGAAAGGCTACATGTCCATAAATGTCCAAACAATTGCATCAGCAAAGTTGTTGGTCCAGGATGTTGTTGCACGCTGGCCAGGCTCTACACATGACTCAGCAATTTACCAAAATAGCTATATTTATAGAAAGTTTGAAAGAGGGGAGTATGGAGACAGCCATTTACTTGGGGATAGTGGCTATCCCTTAAAGGTAAAAGAAAAAATAAGGAGAATAATAATATAATATTGATTAAAACTTAAGTAGGTTACAAAAAGAATTACAAAAATTACAAACAAAAAGAATAACATCATTCATCACAGAGCTCAAAATATTGATTAAATAAATACTTTTTATTTAATAAAAAGATTATGCATGGGTAAGGGATATTTAATTAATTAAAAAGTACACTTAAACTAGTTATTTGCAGAACCATTTTTAGGTATTCCTGATACATTTTGAAAGTTTAAGGTGTGACCTGGAATAGAAAAGAAATATTTTACATCATATAAATTACATTATTATATACAATAATACTTAAAAATATTTTTGTTTTAGCCTCATCTCTTGACACCTTATCTCAACCCTACAACAAGTGGAGAACGAAAATATAATGAGGCCCACATTAGAACACGAAATGTGGTGGAACGGCAATATGGTGTGCTAAAACAAAGGTTTCCAGTACTTGCGGTTGGAATTCATTTAGCTTTAAACAATGCCATTAATGTCATTATAGCTTGCTGTATCTTGCATAATATATGCATATTAAGAAATGAGCAACAGCCTGTGAATAATGATGATGTGCCTAACCTGGAAGAGCTAATTGCAAGGGGACAAATAAATAATATGGCATTTTCTGACAGACCTTCTTTGTCATATGGATTTCGCAGAAATCAAATTACACAATATTTTGATAATTTATAAATATCTAATTTATTATGTAAAATATATATAGTAATTTCACCAATAAATAAAACACATACCTTTTAATTGGTTGCATACTTCAGTTTTAATTTCCAATTCCTTTCTAGCTGTTTCTAACTGCAGCTGGTACAATTCTCTTTTAAATTTTATTTCTTCTTCTAACATTTTAATTTTTAAATCTTCCACAGTAGCCTTTTTAGAATTCAAATCTTTAAAACCTCCACATAACGTTGAAACAACTTCAGCTTTATCCTTATTTTCTTTAATTATTGGTCGTCGTCTTTTCCATATAGGTGTGGACTTTATAAATTGAGATGATGTTGGTGATGACAGTGTTGGAGCAATGTCATTATCCCCTTGTCTGTGCGTCGACCAGCAGTCGGCACGTCAAATTATTTGCGCGTCTGTGAGCCGACCAGCAGTCGGCATCGTTTCCTGTTTAAGTTTTCGCGCTCTTTACGACGGAACTACGATGCGTTTTTTAGGTGCGACACTTGAAATCATAGACTAATAATATATACTCAGTGTCAAACTGCTTTACTGTTACTCTTTGCTCCGTAAAAAAAAAAAATATCGGCACTTCAAATTGGACGCTGTCAAACCAACCGACTCCGGTTTTGTCACGCCTTTGATAAGTTTTCTTGAATCAAATTTGTTGTGATTTGAAGGAGAAACCATGGAAAGGTAAGTACTTTCACATTTTTATTACTGGGAAACATATAATTTTGCTAATTTAATTGTAAAAACCAGGCCAAACCAACGACATAGCCGTCTAACGAACTATGAACGTACTTTTATTTCTGCAATATTTGGTCTAAAAAGTGAATGAAACCGTAATGTTTTGGAGAATTTAAGCTACTAATGTAATTAATTTGCAATGGATGACAATGGTAAACGTGTATTTAGCTTTGAAAACTTTAATTTTGGGTCTAAATACGTGAAGGTTATTTCTTTACCGTCAGTCGGCAGGGGCACAGACAGGGTTTTGGCAGTTGATG